GAGAGAGAGAGAGAGAGAGAGAGAGAGAGAGAGAGAGAGAGAGAGAGAGAGAGAAAGAGAGAGATTTATCAGATACTTGCGCTGGCTGCGTTCTTCGAAAGCAGGCGCGGACTTTCACTAGGACGGGAGGCCATATGGCCTAGGCACATAGCATGAGAGCCTATAGCCGGGCAGGCAGAGGCGGTTAGAAAATTGTTTCACTTCAGCTTGTTATACTTTTATTTCGTTACCCTCGCAGCCTCCGATCTTCACAGCCTCGTAGCCTCGTAGCCTCGTAGGTATCTTATTGTGATTGGTTGTTGCCACTTGTTCGAACTCTTGGGAGTCTTGGGATTATTGTCTGAGAGAGAGAGAGATTTGTCAAATACTTGGGCTGGCTGCGGTGTTCGAGAAGCAGGCCCGGGCTATCACTAGGATGGGAGGCCATATGGCCTAGGCCCGTAGCATGAGAGCCTATAGCCGGGCAGGCAGAGGCCGTTCAGAAAATTGCTTCACTTCAGCTTGTTGTACTTTTATTTTGTTACCCTCGCATCCTCGCATCCTCGCATCCTCGTAGCCTCGTAGCCTCACAGAGTCGCAGGTATCTTCTTGTGATTGGTTGTTGCCTCTTGTTCGAACTCTTGGGAGTCTTGAGAGTATTGTCTGAGGTTGTATATCTATTCAGATGGTGCAATGTTTTTTTTTTTTAAATTTTTATATCTATGCTGAATTGGAAATGGACCAAATGGTGCCATTTTTATTTTTTTTAGTATCATTGACAAACCTTCAGCCCACATAGCACCACCCAGCCCACATAGTCCCGCGGTACCACCCCCGAGCCCGTGTCGGCGTGCCCGCATAAATGCCACACCCTGCCAAGTTGCCAACATAGTACCCCACCCACCGGGCCACCGTACACATAGTACCGCACCCACGTCCACATGGTACCCGACCCATCCCACACACTACGTCACTAGACTCACTACCCCTTTTTTTTTTTTACACAATGTCACCATAATTGCCCCCAGCCCAGCCCACTGAGCACACTGCCGAGGGCCACCCTCCCATCGCCTGGTCACACCTGCCCAGCTAGGACACGGTGTCAGGCGGCCACAAGTAGTGCGCCGCCTGAAAACGGCAGTTTAGGGGCTTAGGCTCAGGGTTAAGTCCGGGTTTTGACAGTACTTTGGGATGACCGGGCTGCAGGAATTATGAGGACTCAGGGTACCCCTGATTCTGGACGCACTAGATTTTGAGAGTAGCCCCCAAAGACAGCAGGATGGATGGGTGCACTGAGCACAACTAGAGACCGTCATTTCTGGTCGCTCAGAGGACAGGGACCGTTTTGGCCTACCGTGGAGAGGGATCGCGGAAACAGACCTCGCCGCGGCATTTT